TCCAGCAGGCTTGGTCTCCCCAGACACTCAGCTTCATCTCCTCAAGTCATGCAGTCTGTTAGGATCTAGCCCTTTTATCACTAAGGCCTAGAAACTTTCACAAGGCAGTAAGCTGAGGCAGTTGTGGGGCTTTCCTTGTTTGTTTCCCATCTCTCAGGGTGACCTGCTGTTCAATGTCATGAAAGTGTTATTTCATGTATCTTTGTCCATTTTTTAATTTATTCAGGTGAATGATGGGGAGAATGGTAACTCTAGTACTTGTTACTCCAAGTCTAGATGATATATACTTTTAAAAATTAACTCAACAACTGTTTCATTCCAACTGATTTATGAGTGTAGAAAAATGTTTTCCACCCTAGATTATTAGATGTCAGTAATTAACTCCAAGGATGTTGTGGAAGCATACACAAAATACAAAAAAGTATTTTTTGTGTGTGTTTTTTCTTTTCTTTTTTAAAATTTAATATATTTTTTTTTTGAGCAGGGGAGCCTTAGAAATACATCTCAACTAGCACTTAGTATAATTATACTTTTATGCATATTACATTTCTGGGTTTAAATGACTTTCTATGTACATTCTCTCTTGTGATTAACCATGATCAAAGCCGAATTATTAAAGGTAAGATTGTTTTTAGGTGATTCCCAGGAATGTTATGACTTGCCCTGAGTTGCACAGCTTATAACAATCACCACAACAGCTGCCATTTATGACACACTTTATGTGTTGAGTGGAGTACTCAGCACTATATACATAGTCTCATTTAATCTTTCCCTAAAAATATGAGGAAAGTGCTGTAATCTCTCCTGTTTTAGAGATGGACACACTAAAGCTTAGAAGATGTGCTATCTTACCTAAGCTTACACAGATGGTAAGTGCCAGAGCTGGGTGTTGAATGCAGGCTATCTGAATCCTAGTCCATACTTGTAACCATTCATGGCAGTGAGGCAGATTTCTGTTTCCTTTGCTGTCATCAAGCTCTTTTATTTATTTTTTCCCATGCTCTCAGTCGATTGGACAGTAGCAGTTTTCTTCATTTTAGAATGAGCAAAATGATCTGTACTCTTGGGAATGCTGCCCCCCATGATATTGCTTATAAAAGACAAGGACTTTTGGTGTCCTTGTTGGTTGATACCTATCCTGAAACAGGGTTATTAAATAAATATAGAGGATACTTTTTGATGGTAATTCATAGTTTCCTTGGTTCATTTTCTCACTATTTTATTTCAGTATCAATTTCTCAGTTCCTGTCTAAAATTTCAACCCCTATGTATCCTCTAAAATCTAACATTTCATATAATCTTACCTTCCTTACATATTTTTCTTTAACACTTATAATTGATATTTTAATAAATTTTACTTATTTTGTTTATTGTCTGTCTCTTTCTCTAAAATATAAGTTCCATAAGAGCACAAAGTTTTGTCTGTTCTGTTCATTACTGTATCCCCAGCACATACATAACACTGTCTAAACATAATTAATTAACACTTATGTTTAGACAGTGCTGTTAGAATTTGTTATTGCAGTGATTGTTGTGTAATGCAGTAAGGAGAAATATTTGAAACAGCTTTCAGAAGCATTAAGATCTACCTACTGTTCTCTGGTAGATATACCTGATATTCTCACTGCTATTGAATGTGTATCATCTTCCATTAGAGGCTATAGCCTATAAGAGGAAGATAAGATTATAGATGAGAGAACCATCTCAGAATTGTGGAGGAAGCTTGTATTTGCATGTTAGCTTCTTTCTTTCTCTTAATAATACCATCAGCTGTTAAGTTTGTTATGTTATGGAGAGATGAACCTTAATGAGGAGGTAAGAGTATGGTATTTAACAGCACAGTCCTTGGTGTCAGAATGCTGTGGGTCAACCCTTAGCTATTCCGCTTACTACCTAGTATAAATACTAATAGTCACTATTATTATATGCCAAGGGTCTTTCTCCTAAGGTTCCAAGAGATTTTTAAACCCTTTGAAACTGTATTTAAATCTGTCGTCTTTAAAAGGTTGGAAACATCTTTCTTAGGAAATCTACAGCTCTCATAAAATTTTCAAATGTCTTTAAGTACAACGATCAAGTGATATGTTACAAATAAATCTTTGCAATGTATTCCTTTGGTTTGGCTTAAAATCCCTTGGGGTCAGTCAGAATCTTAATATTTTGCAAGCCCTAAATATTTCTATCTTTTTTACTTAGACTAGAACCTATGTAGACCACAGCTTCAAAACCACAATAACTTCACTATTATTGTAATCACCTTTTTACAGTTGAGTTTACGTTCACCTATACTCACATGACAGAGACAAAAAAAAAACTCACACAAAAATTTATAAAGGAAATTATCACATTTTCTTGACAATAACACCTATGCATCTCTGTCACAGGAATGTAGTTCTTTGAGAGCAAAGAAGCATCATGCTTTATTCATCTTTGTAGCCTCAGCCCCTGGAAACGTATAGCTTGCTCAATGTATATTTGTTGTGTAATGATTGAGCTGGATATTAGATTCAAACACTCTGATTATAAACGCTCAACATATCCTCATTTCATCAAGTCATGAAATTAGTCTAAAGAGAGATGAGGGGTCTCAATCTTTGGCTAATGCACTATTCTAGCATTTTTCCTTATTCAATGTCTTCCTCAGCTACAGCACAAACTATTAAGCAAACATATTCATGTCACAGAGAAGAAAGTAAAACATAAATTAAGAGTCTAATAAAAAGCAAAATACATATTTTGCTTCTATTAAAGTCATATGGAAACTAAAGATAATACATTTTAAAACACTTGATATTGTTTTAAAAGTCATTGATACATATTTTATTTCTTAATAATCCCAAAAATCAATTACAGAAAACCTCCTGTGTCATTTTTGAGGGATTTGATTATTCTTATGGCCCCTAGCTGCATCCCTTCTGTACGCCTAGTATCTGCCTCACCTATCATATCCTCAAGTCTTCCTTTTTATACATTTATACCTCTGTTACATTTCCTGATCGGGTCCTCCTCATTTATCATATTATTCCACTAAATTCTTTCTGAATTCTACTCTCAATCAGTTAGATAAAGAGCCTCCCTCCAATCTGGGACATATGTGATAAAAGTAAAAGGAGTCCATTGGCAGAAAATCAAGCTTAACAGGTAGGGAGGAAAGAGGTGAATTCGAATTTTAGGAAGAAGACAAGAGAAAAAAGTAGCAAGAGGATCCTACATAGTAGCAATATTTCTGTGTTGATTTTATTTCTTACATAACCCAGCATAGCACCCAAAGAATATCGGTTAATGAATGAGTAAATTCTCTCATTATTACATCTAAGAATAGAAGCAAAATGTTTTTAAACTTTTGAACATACTGATTTTCTTTTCTTTTCTTTTTCTGTCACCTCTTACTTCTTTCACTGTGAGAACTATACCAGGTAATAATTTTGGGTTCTCAAATGTCCTCAAAATTTCCGCAAAGATTTACTGTCCATGGACCTGAAGGCAAGAAGATATTCCTGAGTGTGGTGCTGAGTTTGGTTTGGCAAGTTTCATGAGAATATAAGCATATAGGCAAATGCAAAAATAATAAAATTCCATTAACTAAGGTTTGTTTCAGACATCTGGCTAAAAGGAAAGTTTACAGGCAAAATAGTAGTATAACTCGGCCATCTTACTGATTTTAAAATAATTTATCCAAGATCCACTGAATTCTACAGTACAGATATTCAAGGTAACTCATTCTCAAATTTTAACATTTTCTTACACAACATCACACATATTTATATTATGATAATGAAAAACAAACTTTACTTTTGAAATGAGAAATTAAAAGGCATAATTTTTAAACTTCATAGATAAATATATCTAAACTCTTATAATTTTATTGTACAAATATTTTGGGCAAAATGATGGAATGTTTCGTATATTTTACACTGAAGCTGGGTGTGGTGGCTCACGCCTGTAATCCCAACACTTTGAGAGCCAGAGGGGGGTGGATTGCTTGAGCCCAGGAATTTGAGACCATGCTGGGCAACATGGCAAAACCCTGTCTCTACAAAAAGTAGAAAAAAAAAAAAAAAGAAAGAAAGAAAGAAAAACTAGCCAGGAGTAGTGTTGTGCACCTGTAGTCCCAGCCAGGGTGGCTGAGGTAGGGGGATCACCTGAGCCCTGGAGGTCTAGGCTGCAGTGAGTCCTGATTGCACCACTGTACCACTCCTGCCTGGGTGATGGAGACTCTGTCTCATAAAACAAAAACAACAACAACAACAAAAAACACACACAAATAGTTTACACTGAATTTTAGGTAGAAAAAAAAGCAGTGATTTGAAAAAACAAAACCACTATGTTAGTGCTTATCAATTTCTTAGCATGAAAGCAAACTTATGTCTTCATTTTTTATTTTTTGAATATAAAAAATTATTTAAAAATTATTTAAATTATTATTAAACATTTCCTAATAACACATTTATAAGGACTTACTCCTCAATTTTTATTTACTTGGAAGGCCATTTATTAAATGAATTTGCTTTATTCAAACTGATTTATCCAACAATAATGTTAGTGAAAATGGTCATACTACTTGCAGAACTATTCAAATTCCTTTGACCACAGTTCATTCTTAAAGTTTTCTGAAAACAATCTCAGGCAGTAGTTGCAAATTCAGATTACATAAATACTTCCAAGTTTCAGTTCAAAAACACAAAGTGATTTTATAGAGTAACACTTTATTAAAAAATAAAACCCTTCTTTATTTCAGCAATTGAAAGTCCTAATGTATTTTTGCTGTGAATAAAAACATTATTTTTGAAAACAAAAATTACCTATAATTTTCCATTTAACAGTAAATATTGCATGCAATAGGACTCTGTCAAATCTTCTAAATATGTATTAAGATGACCAATTGATCAGTAATTTGTATCACTTAGCAAAAATGATTTGACAGTAAATTACTGGGTCTGGTATGTGCATCCTACAGCATAGTATGTTCAGCGTCAAAAAATAAAATAAAATGCAATTACCCTAAAAGACATTTCAAGATTCTCTCCACCCCAGATATCCATTCCTGCATCGTAAGTTCCTATCTCTTCAAAGTAGTTTCTGTCAATAGAAAATAGGCCACCAGCCATAGTAGGGGTCCTAGTTGAAAAAAAAACAAAAAGAAAAGAATATCTTTTGAAAACAATGTGCGGAGTTTAATGAGACTGTAGCACATATTTTTGAGACATTCTAAATATTAAAAAATCTCAAACTAGAAACATAAAGTCAAGGTGTAAGAAGTTTTAAAATTAATAAATAGCATTTTTTTCACATTTTCTGTAAAATTCAAATTAGTTTTTGTTTTTCTTACAGGTGATCAAATAGATACATGAAAGTGACACTGGCCATAGAAGACTGGGACTTCTATATTCCCTCTGAAAATCATAGTGAAGAGAAGTTTCTGCCCTTGGCACTGTCCTTGAAGTGGTTAGCTGGTTATGAAACTACCAGTTGTGAACTTAGGTCACACAATATATGTAAACTCTAGAAACCTGTGGACATGGTTTTACCATGAAGAGATCCATAGCCTATTTAAAAATGAAAAAAAATAAATTCTATAAAATGTTTATAGAAAATAAGTATCTAGTGATGGTTACAAAAGTATTTCTTAACATAAGGGCTTTACAGCTAATTGTTTATTCTTCTCTTTACTAATTAAAATGATAGAATTAATCATGTAATTGTATGGATAAACATAAATCCCATAGGATTTATGGAATTTCTGTTATTCAGAGGTTTGAAAGGACACTTTGAAGGGATTCTACTAAAACTTTTTCCTAGGAATAAATGCCTTTTGGTTTCACGTTCTTAATTCTTCTATAAGAGCTCAGAAGTCAGATGTGAATTTTTTAAAGGATTAGTTAATTGTTAATTTAAAAGATGAATTAAAGACAATGGTTAATGAGTGAGCTACACAAATCTTTCTATATATAAGCAGTGTATATTAAAAGTTAAAAAGAAGATTGTAGTTGTTCACAAAATAGATCCATACTGGCAATGATGACTTTTGAATGTTAGTTGTAATATAGTGGTTTGCAATCTTCAAAGCACAATAGCAGGACCTGAGGCACCTCTAAAAAAAAGATGGATATGCTTAAGTACCACCCTCCACAGATTTAGATTTAATTGGCTGGGGGTGGGGGCCTGATGGTGGTATTAATGTAAAGTTTCTATGTAATTCTAATGCACTGCCAAGGGTGAGAAACTGCTATAGAAACTGAGATTTGGAATGCTCATCTAAGTAGTCTGTGAGGCTGTTAAAAACCAAATATTTTGCTTTTGTCAAAATTATATTCTCCTCTGCCAAAGGTTATGCTCATGTTTTAATTAAACAGAATTGTTCACTGAAAAACCACCAAATAATATTGTACTTGGACATCTACCATATTGCAGAGTTCTCTATTTCTCCCAGTGCTCTCACTGTTTCATGCTCAGGTAATTAACTGTCCATCAGTTGGAGTAGCAGAGGCTTGCTTAGTCTCAGAGCTATTTTATTACTTTTCATCTTGCTGGGTTCCCATCATGAACAGTATCATTGACCTTCTGAGTTATAATGAGAAACACTAACAAAGCTAAGCAGATGGTAATTAGGAAGTAGCCATGACTCTCACCTGATGGGGGTTTTGGAACACTATGGCAATAAATATATAAGATATTACAGTGCTGGAGAGTCTATTTGATAAAATTAGGAACCAAAATTGCTGCAATTATCCTATCATAATGCAACCAAATGCTTAATATTGTTAAGTGATGCATTTTTAATGATCAGTTCAGAGTGCCTATCTACTTATCTACTTACTGATAAAGTACTGGCACATTTTAATTTAAATAACACATATTGAATTTCATCTTACAGTTGGTCATCATCCTTATATATGATAAATGTGTAAGTGGCTAAAAATAAACTATGCTTAATAGTTTATTTTTATACTATTGAAAATGACTCAAATAATTTTTACTTATGCTTGGAAATAATAAAAATAATAAGATAAAATTACAATTCTTCAAGAAACTCCTGTATTTTCTGAAGACAGATACTCCTGGACAGATTTTTGGGTTTGCAATATCAGTTAGCTCTCTCAGATAGGAGATTGTGCCTTACGATGTTTAATACCTATAGCCATAGCCAATGTTATGCAACACGTTCTGTTCTAAGTTAACTGTCCTGTAATATGCTTAATAAAATATTTACATATGCCTATGTAAACTTTAAGTGTTCAGAGCATCTAGAAAATGAAAAATCTTGATTATGGTTAAATTAGCTGAAATTATTTGCTTTTCAAGGTTGTGTCTATACAACCAAACAACCAATTTAATCAATTGAACAAGAGGGGAATAGTCAGCTCAATGACTGTGAACACTACCTACCACACATAGTAAGTAGGAAAGATGAACTGAGTTAACAGAAGTAAAGCACTTAACACAGTTCCTAACAAATAATCAACAGGGTAGGTAATTCATCTTTGTTGTTGTTATTGATGTTAATCATTTAAGCAAAATCCTTGCTGTCCTTCACTTGACTTGGGCTCCTCTCTCTATATACACCCTCACTTTAGGTTTCAAAACCATTTGGAACTACCTCATATCCAAGATGTTGACTGAAATCTGCCTCAGAGCATCATTTCTTACTCTTTAACTCCTCCTGTTTTCGTAAGAAGTCATTTTATCCTTCATCAGTGATTATGGTTCCTTAGTTAATCCCTAGTCTCACATTAATAACAACTTTCAGGAATTTCTTCTTCCCTTCTCCCAACCGATTTCCAAGGCTCTGCCATGTCAGCAAAACACTAGCTTAGGAATCTTGGTTCTCTGTGCTTGCTTTTCTGCAATTTCCAATTATCTCTCTTTTTTTTTTCTTTAATTTTGGTGCTTGGGTGAATTTACCTTTCACTTCATTTACTTCTGCTATTAAGACACTGGAAAAGTAATAAGATGTGGTTAACTGGTTATAGGACAAGTCCACATTATTGATTCTCTACTTAATTCACAAACTGCTAACAATCCTGCTATCTATGTTTATTTGTTTACCTGTCTTATTTTTAACTGAGTTTTTTTTTTTTTTTTTTGAGACAGGGTCTCACTCTGACACCCAGGCTAGAGTGAGTGGTGCAGCCTCGACTTCCCAGGCTCAGGTGATTCTCCAACCTCAGCCTCCAGAGTAGCTGGGACTACAGGCATGCACCATCACACTGAGCTATCTTTTTGTATTTTTTGTAGAGACCGGGTTTTGCCATGTTGCTCAGGCTGTTCTTGAACTCTTGGGCTCAAATGACCTGCCCACCTTGGCCTCTCAAAGTGCTGGGATTACAGGTGTTAGTCACCACACTTGGCCTGAGTCTTTTCCAAAAGTTTTGGACTCTTCTCAACAACCTGGGGATGAAGGAAATGCAGGAAATCTAAACTCTTTCAATCATGAAATCTAAACTCCTTCAATCTCTAGCTCAATGTGTTTAAAAATGTGTCTTCCTCATGGCCTCCTGTTTCCTCTTGTCTCATGGAAAAGAATACCTCCTTTCCTCTCCTTGTCGGCTAGCATTCATGCTTGTGGACTCAACAGACTCTCTCCTGACTACTCTTTCAGGCCCTTGCTCATTGACTATTAACATTTATGTTTTATGCCTTTGATTTCTAGATTGGTCCCTTGAGCTTACAAGCCTGCTGAATTAAGTTCTATCCTAAACCAAAAAACATTTTCATTCCACCTTACTACTCTTTTAAACTAGGGACATATATTTTCTATTCCCTTCACCGGTAACCTTCTTGAAAGGATAATTTCTACATACTCCCTTAACAACTTTTGACCTTCTAACTAGAAGCTAGATCTTGCGCCCACCTCTACAATAACTTCTTTCTGAAAAGTCCCCATTGATTCTGAACTCCAATAACCTGTCTTTAACTTTTTCCTCTGAAAGTATATAGTACAATTCATCAGCCTTCCTGCTTGAAATTATTTTCATTTCTAGTTCCCATTGCATTGTTCTGTAGAGGTTTCCCTTCTACTATTTTGACTGTTAATTTTGTGATTCTTATTGATACCCCCTTCCTCTCCTTTTTCCTTCCTATCAGACTTTGGACAAGCTCTTAATTTCATATCTATCAGGTAGGTCCAATATACCATCATAATATTATTTTGTGGATATATGCATTTAATAATTTCTTCTCTCATCTGAAATGTAGTCCTCCCAAGGGTCTCTCAGAGGCACTTTTCTCTTTCTGTGCTCTTTGTCTGGGTAAGATCAGATCATCCATCACATACCTTTCACTGTCACCTCTGTGGTTCACTCTTAATCTGTGTTTTCATACTTGTTTCCTCTGCATAAGTTGTGCTTTTGCAGTTACTCACTAGATGATTCCTTCAAAAAACTCCATTGACTCTGTTCAGTGTATATATCATAGACCTGAAAATTTGCTACTCATCTGCTTCTCTTTTAATGTCTTATATTTCTTTCCAGTCTCTTAGTATAAAATGAAAAATCACATTTTTTGCGCCTAATTCAATTATTTCCAAAAGACTTCTTTTTCTTCTGAAGTATTTTTGACTCATCTCTGTTATCATAGTGACTACTTTTATCTTCTATGTTTGCTAATAATGGGGTCCTCTTAGATGCTAAGATGCTTAGATGCTGAGAGGATATGGATGCCTCTAGATTCTTCTGCTTCTGAAATTTGTCCTAAAAATCATAGCCAGAATAATTTCTCTAAATCAATGCTCCTCTAAAAATGTTAACCAGATGTTCAAAAATCTATGTTAAGGAAATAAATTCCAGCTTCTTATCCTGGCATCATTAATCTAGCACTACCCAATGAGCTCCTCCCAACCCCTTTTAACTATTTGCCTGCATGTAAACTGTTTAGCTGTTACTGGTAAATGCTTTACGTTTTTGTACCTCAGTATATTTGTTCACATCCATTGGTTACCTGGATTTTTCTTTGAAAACTCCCCTTGTACGTTCAAACTTGATTATTCTTAGGCTAATACAAATGCTATACACTCTAGGCATCCTACCTTCAACAACACTGCCCCTGCCCCCTGCTGCCTCAATCAAGACATATTCTTCTCCTTCCACCTTCTTCTATAAGCCCTTATCACTGTCTATCTC